CGACAGGACGGCGGCCGTCACGGTCTGAGCCGGGGCCGCCGGCAGACTCGGAGCCGTCGTTGGTGTTGCTGGAGTTGGGAGCATCGGCGCCAGTTGGTCGATATGAGGTCGGCGGGGGTTTAGGGGGGTTCGCGCTCGTGGGAGTTGTGCGTGTCGGGGGGGCTTGAGAGGGTGCTTGCGAGGCGGATTGGGAGCGTTGGCGGATGGAGAGCTCGGAGGGCTTGCGACGGCGATCTTGGCTCTTGGAGGAGAGATGGCCTGGGGTGTGGGAACGGGGGAGGGTGCCACCCGGAACGGAGGGTAGGCGGCGGTGGTGCTCGACGTCACGGTCGCTCAGCTCCTCGAGGTCGTCAGGCAGGCCACCGATGACGCCCGGCGGAGGAGTCTGTGCCGGGCCGGAGATCTTTTGCGAGCGGACGACCTTCGCCTTGGAGGGGGACCGGGGAATCTTGTCCGATGACCTGGCCGAATCAGCCATGGTTCGGCGGGGGAATGGTCATTGCCCCCCTCTCACGAGGATGTGGATTGTCGATGGCGAGCGATTGCGGGCTCAGAGAAGGAGAGGTGGTAGCAGCAGATGGAGAGCGAGGGAGTAGGCTCGGCTCGTGGTCAGGGACAATTGGTCGGGATCGGTGATGCAGAGTCGAGCGGTGGACGCACGTGAGTCGTGAAGGAATTGTTTACCTGTCGTTGTTGCAGTTGAGATGACTCGGGGGTCGAGTGCTTCTGGCTGTGGTTTTTGGCTGCAGAATGCTGGAGGACTGGAGCCCAGCCGCAAAGAGCCCACCTTTGGCTGCTGCTGCTGCTGCTCGCTTCCCAGTGTTCCCGCCTTCAGCTTCAGGTCTGGTTCGTCTAAGGGAGGTTGATTAGGTCGCGGGTCCATTCATTGCCCACTTCCACAGCTGGAGATTTGCAAGGAGGTGTCTGACGGGGGTGGACCACTGGGTGCTGAGTGTGATCGTTGGTGCTGAATGAGGTGGTGCTTAGTGGCAGCGCAGCCCGACGAAGTTGCCAGGTGCTAGGTCATGGTAAGGTAAGACAGGTTGGCAGGGTCGGGTAAGGCCAGCCCGGGCAAGGAAGGCAAAGAAGGCATGGAAGGCACCGGGCTGGCTGGGCTCAGGTGGGCTGGCCTCGGTGACGGGCCCTTGTTAGTGCGGTCCCATGTCAGCTCAGGTCCAGGTCACCACTCACTTGGGCAGCCTTCACGGGGGGGGGGCGCATTTTAGCTGTCTTGGTCCCTAATTCTATCCACGTATCAAATCTCCAGGTCAGGTAACCCCCTCGCCAAACCCAAGCTCGGACCACCACGGCCCCTGCATTGGTCTGTCGTGTTCCCCGACCCTTCTGTTCCGCGCCGCTGTCACCGGCCTGCTGGGGTCGCTCTGATTGGTCGCGTGCGCTGTCGACAATGTGCACTTTGGCGCATCAAGTCTTGGGTATTCAAACTTCAGATGGAAGTTGTTCGGGGGATGCTCGTGTTTGGTGCTCAATGTCATATAGCCACAGCAGTTCGGTACGCTGTCACCTTGTCTTTGCATGCAGTTGGCTAGTTGGCATGGGGACTGGCCTTAAACAAGAAAAGCAATCTTCAAATTGATTGCAGAGGGTCCAATATTACCCCACGTCTTGAGTGAAGTACCACGTCGCGTCTCGGCGCGTCTGAGTCGTGGTATTCTCCAAATAATTGTTGAAGTTGCCTTCGAGACACCTTTGCACGGAATTGTCGGCTACAGTTTATCACCAAAGAATCTACATTTCTTTATTACATCTCCATTCACAATGGGCGTTGCCAAGAGACCCCTCGACACTGTCGACCTAACCGAGGCATCCCCAAAACGTCATCAGCCGGAGGCAATCAACCACACTCTTTCCACTGAGGGCATTCTGTCACGCATCGCGCTATCCGACCTCAAGTCATGTTTTCGGGAAATGCTGTCTGATCCTCTCCATGGGCCATTCATTGAGGCCCATCTCCAGACCTATGCTGGCAAGTCATTGGAAGCTGAGCTCGAGCGGACCAAGAAGCAAGCGGATGACCTCCGCAAAAAGGCTGGCGCTGCGATAGCCGAGGTCGAAGAGCATGCGCAGGATCCCAAGAACTACATATTTGAGATTGGCGACTTGGGAAACGCAGTCGCTCCTTTCTTGGAGCCGGCTCGCGCGAGCTTTGGCGCACCGGCTCCGAGACAAATGCGCCAGCTTGGTTTTTGAACTGTTGATGGGTTTCGCCGATTGGATTATCTGGCCAGAAGACGGCGAAAGCAAAGCCTATGGAGACAACGGGGATAATGATCATGTCCATGAGGAAATTGAGTCCATCCTTGTGGGCATTGTCCAAGAAGAGCTTGAAAGTTGTGAAGACCCCCAGAAGTGGATCCAGAGAGTCGAAACGAAAGATCGGTTATTCAAAGTCAATAGACTGAACGCCAGCATCAACGACCTGTACGAACCGTGCCACCGGTGCACTCGTCTCCAGAAACTGCTCGTCAGCGGCATTAAGCAAGACAAGGCGCTTCCAACCGATATGGTCCATCCCGGTCAAGAGTCATGCTGGGCTGGCGAAGGGTTTTCTTTCGTGCACACGAGCATACCTTCAATCGGACTAGAGCTTGGCTCCGATGATGACGATGATGAGTGGTAGTTGAGATGATAACACTGTTGCAATGGCATTTGGTATTGATGAATGAGGGCGTTCCCTACAGACTAGGATAGATAGTTGTTTACCTCTATGAATTTCTCGCCGGTGTGACCTACCGCTCTCTCAACTCTCACAAAGAGATTTCAAGTTCTCTGACTCTGAGCTTACTTATGGACCATACGCTTATCATTTGGCACCAATTGCGACTCGGCCGGGAAGCACACTCAAGTGACAAAAGACTTTGGCAGGCTATTTCTTTACTTCCAATAGGGCTTATAATCATATCAGTACATACAGTCTGGCCTAGGACAATTCATCAGCCATCTCACGCTGTATTTCCAGTAGCCGCTATGCTTGTTCAAACTACCGAACAAACAAATTTGGTCGTTTGTCAAACCATCAAATGAGATTCGCTCCAAGAATCAGATGAATCATTATGAAAGCGCCATCCTCCCTCGCAAGTAGAACTTCTGCCCCCCACTCTGACGATGCCGGCATTGGTCGAACCCCACATCATCAATCCGGGGTAGTTCAACCAGAGATACACTTCCAACGCGCCGCCGCGCCCTTCAACAGACGCCCATCGGCTATCTGGCTTGTGTAACCTCGCCTCATCTCCGAAAGTAACTCCTCCACCAGACAGCTCATGAACGTCATCTCAGGTTTGACGCTACACCAACTTAACCTTCGAGGCCTTTCCCCATCGGAACAAGAGGGCAACCCGTGCCGCCCGTCGGAGTTTCATCACATTTGCAGCAGAGAAACTATGATAAGCTGGCAACTCATTCTGCCCTACCGACATTGGATGACGTAAATGCTCTCCACGCTAGTCTGGGTGCTGGCCAAGGAAGTTGGGGAGTCTCGACTCAGTGAGGGTTGGTTGCTGGGCGGTGCCGTGGGTGCTCGCTCTATCACGACATCGTCCACCGTTATATGCGAGATGTCGACTGCAAACGCTACCCAAACGGTGAAGATTCGAGGTTAGATCCGGATCATGTCCCCAAAGCAGATCCCCTCGGATTCGGGACCCCTGGAAATAGCACATCGTACGTGCTCCAACCAGGGTCCTGGAGACACATGCAACCTGGTCCCACGTCCGGAGCTTTTTAGGAGGTCTTGGAGAGAAGTCTTGGAGCGGAGCCCCGGAGGTTGGAGGTGGGAAAGCAGTCCGCAGTCGGGGGACTGAAGATGCCGCCGAAGCACGGAACATGATTCAGTCCCAGCTTCCTGCCAAGGCCCGGGGCGGGTTCTAGACACAACGTGTATTGGATGGGGCACAGGAACAATAAACCGCACCGGAAGGCATTCCCCATACAACGTTGATCAACCTCCGTGCAGCCCACGCGGGCTCCGATATGATATCTGACTTGCGTCATAATCTTGCCAACTCTGACGAGTCTGACGAACGCACGATGGGGCGGCTAACGGTGCCGTGCAACTTTCACGACTCAAGCCACGACACACACATGAGAGCATGAAGCAGCTGATGTATGTACGTTGCAAAGTCTCCAGCGTTATCGTCCAAACTCGGAGCGTCCCGCTGACTATCGATGGGGAGACGAGATTAACAACAGTTCAGACAAGGAACGAAGCGAGGCCTAGCCAAGAAACGAACGTCCCCTTTACCAAGTTGAGAGACGAATGTATCGTATACAACACCCTTCCAAAGCCGGAAGTACCATCTACATTCGCCCTCGCTTGAGCTGAATCCTGGGAGAACATCACCACCATTCTCCGATGAACTGCAGAAAGATCGATCTACGTCACTCGTCCCCACCAATATACAACCCACCGGCACCGGTTTCTGCTTCTGGTCTCTCCCCAAGAGCCTCGGGGGCAGCGGGTGTCCATTTGCCGGAGGGTGGTGGGCAAATCCCACCTCTCGAAATATCCGGATGTTGGTGTGAGAACCGACGGCTCGGATGCGTTTGCGAGAATGGCACGGATAACGTCCCGGCAGGCAACGGGATTTGTGGAAAGACGGTCTGACATGGGATGTGAACTGGTCCATGACTCGTTTGCACCGAAAATCCGGTCCACGTACGACCGGCGGAGGTCGTCGACGCTTGGGGTTTCCCTGGAAGGGTTACACAAACTCCCCGCTAGCGCGGAGTGGGGCCGACAACACCAGGTCCTTAGTAGTTTTTGCCGCCGATTTTTCCATGGTACTCCGATATGGTGTAGTGGCCAACATGATGCCCTCTCATGAACTTGAGAGGTTAGGCATAGCCCCGAGTTCGATTCTCGGTTTCGGAACACTTGCTTTTGCTTTTTGGACCCAACGCGTCAAGCGTCCCGTTGGCGATCTTTTGCCATCGTCCGAAGTCCCTCCTCCAAGTGAAGGCAGGCAGGTATTGACTTGTCACTCGCTATATCTACTGCCTTTGGTCGGCCTGAGTCCATCAGGCCTCCTCTCATGACGGTCTGTGATTATCAGAGAAAGACCCTCGCCGCTAACTTTCTTCAGTCCTCCGATCTCTTGTGTCTCTTCCACCCATGCTATTGACCCGACTGTCTTGAAGGATGTGACACCAGCGCAAGTATTGCTGAGAATGTGCTCCGGCGGAGGGTTCGACTTGTACGACAAGGCGATGAATTCGAGAATGCTGCTCCAGGCGTGTCCCGTCCGTCGCGAGTAAATACAGACGAGTAGATGGGCTATCGCCATAACCGCATGGGCCATGAGAATGAAAATGCAAAAGTACCCAAACCAGCCAGACGTCATCATGGCATACCCTCCGTAGTGAGCCTCTACAATCATTCGTTCTGAGCCGAACTCGTTCGAACCTGCCACAGATTTGGGAAGAAGAAAATTCTCTGCAGGCTTTCCTCTCTTCACTAGAGCTCTCGCAGCGGTTTCATCCGGAGGGCTGAGAGTATCTCCGACACGCCACCTTTGCAAAGGTTCCAGGAACCTGCTTGAATCGCTGTTAGGAATACTGCCGCATCTCGATAGGGCTTCCACGATGGTTGTGACGATCCTCTCCTGAATGGAGACCGGATCCATCACATCGTTGTGAAAGCTTAAGTCCAGAATTCTCTCTAGGGTGGTCCTATATCGACCTTCTGAGATGTTTCCAGCAAGTCCGTTGGGAGTATCGTAAACTGGTGGATGGAGCGACTCGTACCAGCTAGGCTTCAGGCGGATTATACCTTCCCGAGTTGAGTTGGCCGAAGGGGCCTTTAGTGGTACACGCCACAAAGGCCTATTCAGTCTTGTGTCTAGCTCGACTTCGATGTTGCTATAGACTCTCCCGTTATTGAAGTCGTGCTCGATCACGCCACTCGACGGCGACATCTCGATAAACGTTTTGGCCTTTACCCAGCGTGCGTCGATGGAGCAGGTAAGGAGGTTGGTTGTTCCAGCTAGAAAGTTCACGCCCTCTGCTTTTACAAATATGACCAGTCCGAGGGAGCTCGCTGCTTCACCTTTCCATATATCGATAGGAACAGCAATGATACGTTTGCGTAGATGAAAGATGCTGGTTCCGTTTACCAAGGTAGCGTTGGCTTCCATCATGCCCCTCTTGGATAGATATTCTCGCACGTCTTGGAACACGTCAAGATAATGGTAACCATCGTCCATGCCTGGATGTTTCCATAGACCGCTGTCATTGTCAGGCCTCCTGGCGCGATCGGAGACTGATAGATCCAAGAACGGTAACGTAAGGTTCCTAGGGACTCCATAATCGACCACACCATTCGATACACACACAGTTCTAGCTGCGGGTATCTGGGTCTCGAGAGTGTATCTCTGCTTCGAAGAGAATTTAAGATTTGTGAGACCGAGGGGAGTTCGCGCCTGGCGGCGATCCAGGTAGTCAAGAGACCTCAGGTGCAGAAACCGCATCAGATCGTGGACACGGGCTGATGGGCCGTGAGCCGTAAACGCCCACGTGTCAGACATATAAGCTGCGGATGGTTGGACGTATATGCTTTTGCTGACAAGCCCGGTTGTGATTTGATAGTCGACATGTGTCCTTGGGCGCGCGGCGTTGGCGAGATAATGGCTGTGAAGAGTCGAGAATCCAGCAGCCGGGCATTGGTGCTGTTCGAGCTGGTTTTGCAAGGACGAGCAGTTCCAACTCGAGTAGTACTCTGCGTCGAGAACTTTCGGCCAGAGTTCTGCGTCACCGCCATTCGCCCAGTAAACACCACCGCCTATGTCGAAGTCCCGTTGAGCAGGTAGCATAAGGACCGCAGCAGCTGGGCCCGCCATGACAGCAATCAGGCCGGAAATCCCAATGAGTGCCAGGAGAGCAAGACGCTTGATGTAGCTTCGAGGTTCGGAGCTAGGGCAAAATATCGCTCCCCAGAAATCGGCTGACCAGAAATAACTAGACAAGAAGGGTCAGAGAGGCATCAGGCCATTAGCCTTGGACGTCATCCTGCCTACCTTAGCTGTGTGAATTGCCAACCCGAAATAACAAGCCCAAGTGGCAAACCATCGCCAAAAACCAACTCCTCACGTAGAACATGGAAGATGATAGTCCCAAGACTTGATACGATGAGAAGTTCCTGAGGATCCGTGAGGTCAGAACTATGGACTGAGTCTCTTGAGACGAAGGCAGGTACCTGAATCTTGGCAGCAAGCTGTAAAACGCCAGATTTGACATCATCCTGATCCTTATTTCCCTGCAGCTCTGAACCGATGAAGTATCCTTGTAGGTTGAAGGAAATCAGGAAAAGGGAGACGGCCGTCGGTAGTATATGTATAGCGCATCGAGATACAGCAGCAGCCCTAGACTGGCTTATGAGAACCTTTGGGGGCTCCGGCTTGTCTTTGCCGATGAATGCGACGATGCCGAGACCAACGGCTCGTAGAATTGGTCGGAAGCGCCCCCTGAAGCCGTGAAATACCCTCACGACGAGCCTCCAGACGATTTGGAATGCAAGCGTCAAGTAGAATCGAGCCAAAGAAGATGACATGGTCGGAATTCGTGCAGGGTAAGGCTGCAAGAAGGCATTGCGCTACTTTTCTGAAGAGGCTGGCTTCATATATAAGCTTGTGCGTGGAGCCTTCTTCGGACGTAAAAGGCAAGGCTGCATGTCTATGAATCCTCGGCGGTTACGTCCAAGAAAGTTGGGGGCCAACTGAGTGGCAGGGCAGTGGTCACCCGCATGTTTTCTGCGGAGCATTTGGGGATAATCCAGACACGCAGCTGCCAGATGCGCAGGTGGGGGCGCTGCACTGCCCTGTGTGACAGCATCGTTGAGGATCATTGGGCAGGATCTCACCGAAGAGGAGGGTAAGCACTCTGGTAACAGAGCCTCGTTTTCTCAACAGGCTCATTGGAGGCCACAAGCGTCAGGAACCAGCAGAGGCATCTATTACTCAATTAGTGGCTTAAACAGCCTTTTCAATCTTAGCCTCCGCCGTTTGCTTTTCGAACTTGCCCAAACATTGTCCAGAAAGCCGCGATGAATACCGAAGAACACAGAGGTATCAGCTTGTTTTCCTTTCTCTTCTCCAACGCCGGTAAACCTCAAAAGGGCCATCATGATTCCTATCAAACCATGTCATATTGATCCGGGAACAAGATGGCGTTCGCCATCCCGACCAGAGCTTTTACTGTTGGGCTCCTCCCCTCTCGATCTTCCCAAGGCAGCAAGCCCATGGCCCTAAGCCCATCTTCGCCGCCCGCATCGCTGACCTCCTGAACACCAGGTCGACCCAGGTGAGAAATCTCTCCGCGTCCGCCACCAAAATCCGGACTAGGTTGGCCGAGGAGAAACGCCTTTCTCTGGCGAGCGAGATACAGAGCGTTCGTTTGTGTAAGTGGGCAGGCAGGAATGTACATGATAGTTGCGGGCAGAGCCGATGGCGGCACCCTATCGACGCCATAAACCATATCCGGGTGCCATACGACGTAGTCCCCAGGCCGAACAGGGGGGATGCGAACGAGGGACTTGTCGAACTGCAGGTGAGGATGGAGGGAGGCGTTCAGCTCTTGCGTATACGACGGGACGGCACCCTGGATGATGCTTGTCTGCATAAAGTCGAGAGACCAGTTCTCGCGGGCGAGAAAGTTCGCAGCCTCAGGGGACGGGTTCAGTGGAGAAAAGAAAGGCCGTAGAAGGAAGTAGGCAGTTGCGAGCTGAAGCATCGGGCATAGCAGTAGGGTGCCGTCAGCGGGATTGATGTCTGACATGGAAAGCCAGCCCTGGAACATGCGGAACATACTGCATGAACCCGCGCCATTGTAAAGATCCGATGTGACCTTGAGCCGGGTGCTGCATTCCCAGGGGTCGTAGTCCTCCCACTTTCCATCCCATATGCGTTGATATGTGCCGGCGTTTCCATACCCGTCACTCTCCCATCGTTCAACACTGCCGCCGTCAACGTGGGCGTTCAAATGCCAGAACTCGTCGCCTGGTGCACGAATTCGCAAACGGTCTGCGTAGGCCACGGGCAAGTCCACTGCCACCGAGGCGTTGGGGTTCCTCGAGCGCCAAAGGCCCATCAAAAACCGCTGGGCTGCAAGGACATTTGGATGGGCTCGACCCTTGATCTGAGCAGGCGACCAGTAGATTCCAAACAGATGGGGGTCACGCGTCGGCCACCCTCTGGTCTCCGGATTATCGGCGAGGTACGTCTCTGTCTCCTCCCGCCAGTCTTGAGCTTGGTCCGGCGGAATCACGTTGCGAATCACGGCGCCACCTCGGCGTCGGAGCTTTGCGGCAAATTCGGAGACGCGGGCATGGTCCTTGAGCTCCGAAAAGTCGATGGTGGGGATGATGTCAGACTTTGTTACTCCTATCAACGCAATCTCGGCCCGGAGGGCAACCAGCAGCCGATTCCAAGAATCCACTATCGCCGTCTCCTTGCCCGCGATGAGGCTCCGCTTGATCTGAGCGAACCTCGGCGGGAGTGGAATTGGCCCACCGTTCTCTGAGAATATCTCATCTGCTCGCATGAAGCCTCTCGGGCGGTTGTCCATTGCTGGAGGAAATGATTGCGACCAGAGTAAGCTAGGTGTGTCAAACGGCGAAATGTATTGTGAAAAGAGGTTGGAGGAGTAGGGCATTGATGAGAAATCTGGTGGTTGTGGAGGCGGCATGTCGCCAGCGGCCCCAAATTGGGCCTGCCCTTCGAATAATTCATCGTTCATCGTGTGGGACGAGAAACGAGTTGCACACGACGTGGCGGAAGACCTCCGTATCGTCGGTGTGCTGGTGGTCGTGTGAATGGATTGGATATGCACTGAAGTAACAGTGGTCTCGGCGCCCGCCGTCTGGGATCCGGGGTCTTGCAGATCACGCGTGCCGGAAAAAAATCGGGCGCCTGAGCTGGAAATTGTGCTTTGCTGACTGCGCTGTGGCCGGGCCGCTGAGCCGCTTCAATCGTCGTTCGACCCTGCTCTTTTTATAAACCCAATGGGAAAATCATCGGTCAGAAAAGACGAATGAGATCCAACTTGCAATGCGGAATCTCCGCCCAAGATCCGTGCATTCGTGGCCTCGGGACGCATGATGTACCCGTGATACCCTCCAGCTGGATATGCATGCACCGCGGAGCTGGCCCGGTAGATCCACGGGCTCCACGGTTCCGTATTGGGTGTAGCCGCCCCGACTGTGGCTATTATGTGCCGTGATGCAAATACGGGACACATATTCCGCCAGTGATCGCCATTTCTGAGAAGCTTATCATGTCGCCTTCCCGCGTTTCGACCGTCTGACTGGACCCTTGTCTTCTACCATCTCGTCGGCGCTCTTCTTTCTCTTCGAAGACGCTGCCTTCGTTGTACCCTTTGGCTCATCCTTCGTGGCCTTGGGGCTCGAGGAAGTCTTTGCCACAGAGGCGGTTCCCTCTTGTTTGAGTAAAACATATGCCACCTTCTCAATATCCATGGCTGAGACGTCCAGCCTTTTCATCAGCTTCCGTGCCTCCGCATTGAGGGACTCATACTCCTTCATATTGTACTTGAGCGACGCTTTCTGGCCCTTGTTGCATAGCCAGTAGTACGCCTCATCCGAGAAGAAGAGGACCTGCTCCGGATAGTGCACCGCCAGAAGAAGCGAAGCAGTTGCAGGACCGATTCCTTTGAGTCTGGTCAAAATGTTGAGTGATGCCGATAGGTCTGACACGCCTTGATAGGCCTCCACTCCCTCTTTCACGGTCTTCTCTGCCGTGGAAGAGTCATTTGACGAGACAAGCTTCATCAGAGTCGGGCGAAACTTGCCGTGGCGACTATTTGGGTGTGTCAGACGCATTCATTCCACGACGAACGTAATCAAACCATGCCGTCATCTCGTGTTGACTTCGTTACACTTGTGACTTCGCTATAGGCCGTGAAGTGTAATTAAAGAAGCATGCACTTACAGCTTCCAGTCAACGAGGACCTTGATATCATCATGGTTCATGGATCGTTTAGGGGCTTCCTGCGAAAAGAGGGCCGGGGCCTCGACGAAACGGAACTGATCCAGCTCTTGCAGGGTCTTCTGACCAGACTTGGCTATATGCGGCAGTTAGGGATACCGTGGGAAAGACTGATGAGTGCGGGGGAGGCCGCGATCAAGGGCCGACGTACCGCCTTTCGAGGCTGAAATGGAATCAATCAGGGGTTCATAGTTAGCGAGGAGCTCTGCGAACTCCTTGTTCGTCACCTTATCAGGCGACACGAGCTTGGAGCTTGACATAGTCGCCGTAGCTCAGGAACCGGTGATCGGGGTTGACGTAGCTGGTGGATGCGGTTTCCCAATTGGGAAGAAGCTTCAACTTGATATGCCAGCCGTTATCTGGAAGGATGAGGTGAGTTGATCAAGTCCCTTTCCCTGCAGGTCGCCGTGTTCGTGAAGTTTGCAGGAAAACGCGATTCGAAGGAGATTACACGCGTCGCAGGCAATCTTGGAATTTCAATCATCCGCCCCGGGTTGGTATGTTGCGCGTCGTTATATCGCGTAAGGACTCAACTACCCGCGACAAGTACGTAGTTCAGCGCTCAGCGGTGTAGGAGGAAGACGAAGCCAACCGATGCAGCGACTATGTGAAACTGACGGTGCCCAGAAGCTTTCCCCTGCTCTGCACAGTGCTCAGAAACATTGTGGGTCGCTGAAATGAAACGGGAAACCCATCAACACGTGAAAGCCTCTTGCCCCTTATGTAAGCATCAGTATTACACCCACCTAGTAGACACGGTCTGCTCTTTAATCGAAGCCATTCTTACACAAAGTCCCTTGCCAAAAAACATGGCAGCTGATCAGAAGTTCAGGAGACGGCGATAGAAACGACAGAGACAGAAGTGGGCGGGAAGCACCAGGGGGATGTACAGCTGGAAGAAGATTGGGAAGAAGATTGGATGAAACGGTTACTGAAGAGACCCGGGCCGGGCCATTTTATCGGAGCCGAACACTTCAAGATACGTTTTCTGATAGGTCTCCCGATGCAAGACGTTCCTCTCACCGGAGCCCAACAGTGAAGTGTTTCCAGGCGGTCAAGCTCTGCCCCTCAGTGGAGGCAGCCCGTTGGTCACCGAGTCTGGGGGTCCGTGCATTTTCTTCGCTGAGTCTAGGCTGCCGATCCATGCAGAAGCGCTACGGGGTCGTCCGAGGGAGAAAAAAAAGTGTGCCGTCTGCGCCCGCTTCAGCAACTCTCGTCCTTTCTCCTCCCGAAACCCAACGATCTTTCACATTACCGCTACCGACTCGCGCTACCAGCTCTCCGGAAGACAACGACTCACCACTTATCCGACTTTCGTCAATCACCAAGCAGTCAAGATGGGCAACGTACGTTCCAAACAAACACCCCTCTGCCCCCCACCGCTGATCAGGGTCTTGGTGGAAACAAATTGAGGGGCAGGCTTTTGCTGACATTCCGGACTGTAGGGAGCGAAGGCTCAGCAGAAGCGCGATCGCGCCCAGAAGGATGCGAAGCCCAAGGGCTCTCAGCTCAAGGTGGTAAGTCTGCGTCTTTCCTGAATATATTTCTT